GCTGCCAATAGCCAAGTTTTGGTGATCCCTTAGGACAGTGTTTTTCAATCTTGGCCTCTTTTAAGATGGGTGGATTTCAGAATTCCCCAGCCAGCATAGGAGTTGAAGTCCACCTGCCTTAAAGTGGCCTAGTTTTTTTTTTAAAAAAACAAAACAAAACACAACTTTAAAATTTGATTTAATTCGGTTTTATCGGGGGGGAATGTATTTATGTTTTGTTTTAAATATGTTGTGCGCCGCCCTGAGTCCCGTTGGGAGAAGGGCGGCATATAAATTAAATTTATTATTATTATTATTATTAAAACACGGTACTAGAAAGAGACGCTGGGAAATTGGCGGGAAAAAAAAGCCTCCGAAGGAATGGTTGGGTTGCTCCAAAGACTTTAGGGAGCTGTCCATGACATCACTGGCTGAATTAACTTCAAAGGAGTTTTACCGCTCCTACTAATCAATTATCTGGCTTGGAAAGACATTTCCCAGTTTGGTTCTTTATTTTGAAATCTTGGGTGTTTCTTATTGAAAAGAAAATCTCTGATAATGATCAGGTTGAATGAATCAGCTGTCATTTATTTACAAACACATCCCACATAATACACAAGGATCATCTGAAATATAATTACAACCATTATCTTGATCGCTCTACAACAGGAGGAATTAAAATGTGGTCACAATTAACACTAACATCAATGACAGCAATTTCTATCTCGCTGCTGCTTTAATCATTTGCTCCAGAAAATTCATTCATGTTCAACTTTATATAATGTATATTCCACCGTTCTTGTACTTGTCTCGTTAAGTAGATGTCATTAAACACCTGCAAAGATCATGGTTTAAATCCACTGCTGTATGAAATTTGTATGGAGTTTCTTCTAAAAGCGGGCAAAGCCTCCATCAGTCCATTAGGAAAAACTCGTGACATTTATCTATATTCAGAATAATTACATTTTCCTGTCTCAACTCCCTTAACATACTTACCTATCCTGATTCATTTTGCTGTCGATACAGAAAAGAAGCTTCTTTCTGAATCTTTTATTGTGTATTGGAACATAGAAGAATAGAATTTGAAGGGATCTTGGAGGTCTTCTAGTCCAACCCCCTACTCAAGCAGGAGACCCTGTACTATTTCAGACAAATGGTTGCCCAGTCTCTTTTTGAAACCCTCCAGTGATGAAGCACCCACAACATCTGAAGGCAAGCTGTTCCACTGGTTACTTGTCCTCACTGTTAGGACATTTCTCCTTAGTTCCAGGTTGCTTCTCTCCTTGGTTAGTTTCCATCCATCGTTTGTTGTCTTGCCTTCTGGTGCTTTGGAAAATAGTTTGACCTACTCTTCTTTGTGGAACAGTGCTATCATGCCCCCCCCCCCCGAGTCCTTCCTTTGATTAGATTAGAGATACCCAATTCCTGTAACAGCTGCCACTTCTTTAGCTGGTATTGGCCTTTATTCGCATTGAGTTATTCCCAAGAAGCAAGAATGGCATAATGTATCAATGTAATATGTGTGTGGATCCAAGCAGTGTAGCCTTTTGCAACTGACAGATGCAAATTTTGTCAGTGTCCAGGTTTTCCAAGTGTCGTCCAAGATTTTTTTTGGTATGGCACCCAGTATGCTCATAGCTGCTGGGACCCACCCTGGCCAGTTCATACCTTGAATCTTTCAACTCTGATTTTCAGATCTTGATACTTTGCAATCTTCTCCAATTCTTTGCCTTCTCTTCTATTACCCACTGGTGTTTGCCACATCAATTATCCACAGCGTCTTCTTTCAACTCCAGTTAAATCTGCTGTGTTATGTGCCCAGACATTTATCAGTTTATATTTGGAAATCCCACAATAGTTTAATAATAATAATATTTCTAATACATCCTGATTTTCTAGTGTTCAGCTTAGGGTAACTAGCAACAATTTAAACTAGTACAAGAATTCATTTTGAAAATGACGGACTAGTGTTATATAGCAAGCACAGACAGATACAACACGAAGTCAAATATCATATAAAATCTGTATCTGCATGGGATGAATCCCACCATAAATAAAGATAGTCATATCTGGTGAAAGAGCACGAACAAAGGGAGCAGGGAATTCCACAGATCTGGTACAGAAGACCTTTTCTTTGCAGGTCTACCAGAGCTGGAAGTGAGATGCCTTTTTCTCCTGCTGGGTCTCCACCCCAGCTTGGATAAAGCCACGTTTCTCCATTGGAATAGCAATAGCAACACCACTTAGACTTATATACTGCTTCACAGCCCTCTCTAAGCAGTTTAGAGAGTTAGCATATTGGCCCCCAACAATCTGCACCCTCATTTTACCAACCTTGGAAGGATGGAAAGCTGAGTCAACCTTGAGGCAGTCAGGATCGAACTACTGACGGTGGGCAGAGTCAGCCTGCAATACCGCATTCTAACCACTGCAGCACCACAGCTTGTCAGGAAAGGTTCTTAGATATCCTTTTAGGTCAGTGATGACGAACCTTTTAGAGACCGAGTGCCCAAACTGCAACCCAAAACCCACTTATGCATTGTCGGGTGCCGAGTGGGTGTGGCCCATTGGCTGGGCGTGGCTACGGTGGTAACGGCAGACTGGGTGGGACTAAAAAGTTCAATCAATCAATTCCAACTTTGCAAGATTTTTTTTTCCCGCGAGAAGCTGAAATTGATTGAACCTTTTTTTTTTTTGCACATTGCAATGGAGGCCTAAAGCGAAAAGGTTTTATAAAACCCAGCTGAAGGCCTAGGATTGGGGCGACTGCGTGCGTGCCCACAGAGAGGGTTCTGAGTGCCGCCTCTGGCACCCGTGCCATAGGTTCGCCACCACTGTTTTAGGTTATCCCTTTTGCACGCTCTGCTTGGTTCAAAGGAACAATGTTAATTGCTGGAATCTTCTACAAAGCCACTGTAGCACTCTGAATTAATTGCAATTTCAAAAAGTCTTCAGACATATTGCCAGGAAGGGTTCACCAGAATCACTGCGGTGTATTCAACAGAGTTGTTACATCCTAACACTCGTGGGGTGTGTGTGGGGGAGGAAGAAATGTCTGGAGTCTGAGGAAATTCCGCAATTTATTTGAGCCTCTTCTCTTCTGAATGTGTTTATCCTGTTGTGGCAAGAGGTTTAAGAACAGGGTAATTCTCATTTTGCTCAGGGCTTTTAGTTGATCTGGACTGCAAAGATTGAGATGACCACTAGATGGCAGGAAAGAGACACGGGGGAAAAAGTAACTCTTTGCTGTCCTCTAGGGGTCCTTTGGAATTTCTGCACCTCAAAACTCCTCCTTCGTCCACTCAACTCTGATTGTAATGGTCTGTGAGAATAGGGAGAGAGGAGGAGGAGGAAGAACAGCAACCTAAGTAAATAAGACAAGAGAACAAGAGGCCTGGGAAGCATCTCAGCAGGGACCCTCTCTAGTTCCCTGCAAAGTAAAGGCAGGGGAGGGGAGACGTGTTTTCAGATTCTCTTACTGTGACTTTACAACAGGGGTGTCAAACTCAATTTCACTGAGGGCTGCATCAGCATTGCGGTTGCCCTGGGGGGGCTGGGTGTGGCCAGAGTGGGTGCAGCCTACTGGGTGGGCATGGATGGAGTGGGTGTGGCCTACTGGGTGGGCGTGGCCAGTTCTACATCATTCGCGTCAAGGGTGCCTGTGGGGGGCCTGGGCAGGAGTGGGACAGATCTGAGGGTCTCTGGCAGAAGGGGGTGGAACCGGGGCAAGTGCCAAGGCATGGTCCACCGGGGCAAGTGTGCCAAGATGGCCACCAGAAAATTGTACATTGGCTCCCGGCTGGCCTGGGCCAGGGCCAAGGCAGCGGGGGCCGTTCCCTCACTGTTTCCAGGATAGCTTCGCGGGCCACATGAAACCATTTCATGGGCCGTATCCAGCCCCCGGGCCTTGTGTTTGACATGTCTGCTTTACAATAAAGGACGTCTTAAGCAGTCACGGCTTTGGTTTCTTGTCTGGACCACAAGCAGTCCTCGATTTACAACTATTCATTTAGTGACTGTTCAAAGTTACAATGGCATCGGAAAAAAGTGACACGGAGGACCATTGCAGCATCCCCATAATCATGTGATCAAAATTCAGACCCCCTTGGCAACGGGTCCATATTTATGATGGCTACAAGTGTCCTGGGGTCACGTGATCACCTTTGGCGACAAGCAAAGTCAATGGGGAAGCCCAGATTCACTTAACAACTGTGTTACCAACTTAACAACCGCAGGGATCTAACTGTGAAAAGAAAGATTGTAAATGGGACGAAACCCACTTAACAACTGAGGGGTCCTTGGTCCTCTCTGAGTTTGCTTGTTTTCTTGGAGACGTTTTAGGGATTACTTGGTTAGGCCAGGGGTAGGCCACCTTGGCTCTTTTATGACTCGTGGACTTCAACTCCCAGAATTCCTGAGCCAGCCATGCTGAGGGGAAAGGGAGAGGTTTCCAAGCTGAGCCAGGCTGGCTCAGGAATTCTGGGAGTTGAAGTCCACGAGTCATAAATGAGCCAAGGTTGCCTGTCTCTGGGTTAGGCTGTTTACTAATGGCTCTTTGGTAGTTTCTTGATTGGGGCATTGCTTACTTGATTGTTGGTCTGCAGTTGACCTTGGAGTTGATCAACAATCAAGTAAGCCATACCCCAATCAAGAAACCGCCAAGGGGCCATTAGTAAACAGTCCAACCAAAGAATCCCTAAGGCCGCCCCCTACCAACCCAGGTGGGCGAGACACCAGAATATAAACCGACAGCAAACAGCACTCCTTACTAGCACTGATGATGTCACCTAGTTAGGGTAATGAAATGTCTGCAAGAAAACAAGCAGGCTCAGAGAACACCAAGGACCCCCTCATTTCAACCCTGGGCTCCAAATATTCTCCTTCGTTAGTATCACTTAACAACTGTCTCACTTAGCAGTAGAAATTTTAGGCTCAGTTCTGGTCATAAGTTGAGGATTACCTGTACTTCAAAGGGGTGACACTTAACCCTTTCACTTCTCCTCCCGAGGAGCATTCAACACTTTGGGGTTTCTCCCTGGTGAGTCCTTTGATGAGTGGCAAGTTGCATCTTCCGTCGAAAGCCCTTCCCGCAGGACAAGCAGGTGTACGGTTTCTCCCCGGTGTGCACCTTGTGGTGGGAAAGAAGGTATTTGCTGCTGGTGAAGCTTTTCCCACACTCGAGGCATTGATAGGGTTTCTCGCCCGTGTGGATCCGTTCGTGAGTGATGAGGTACACCTTCTGGCTGAAGCTCTTCCCGCACTCCAAGCAGGTGTACGGCTTCTCCCCGGTGTGGATTCTTTGATGGGAAATGAGATTTTTGCTACTGCTGAAGCTCTTCCCGCACTCCAGACATCCGTACGGCTTCTCCCCGGTGTGGAGCTGCTGATGGTGGGTGAGGCTGGCCCCGTGGCTGAACCTCTTCCCGCACTCCAGGCATTCGTAGGGTTTCTCTCCGGTGTGACTGATCTGGTGGGAATTGAGGTTGGACTGCTGAGCGAACCCCTTCCCGCACGTCGGGCATTTGTACGGCTTCTCGCCCGTGTGGATGCGGAAATGGGAAGTGAGGCTGGCGCTCTGACTGAAGCCCTTCCCGCACTCCTTGCATTTGTACGGCTTCTCTCCCGTGTGGATCTTTTTATGGGAGCTGAGGTATTTGATGTCGCTGAAGCATTTCCCGCATTTGAAACATTCGTAGGGTTTCTCGCCCGTGTGAGTCCGGTGGTGGGAAATCAGGATATCTCTCCTCTTGAAGGTCTTTCCACACACCTGGCACCGGAAAGGTCTTTCCCCTGCGTGGGATCCCATGTGGAGATAAAAGGAGGATTTATAACTGGAGATCTCCTCATATAACAGACACTCGTTTTTTTCCACGGCTTTCTCTATTCGCCCTTCACGGGCCTCACTGTTCAATTCGGCATTTGTTATTTTCTTTTCTTCCTCTACTTCACGTCCGATTCCTTCCAAAAACAGATCGCTTGGTTCTCCATCAGACTTGTGCTGTCTCTCAGCCTCTGGGGAAAAAAAAAGGATTCAGAGAAGAGGTAAAAATCAAAGAATGAGCACAACTGAGAATGACAAAAAGCCAGAAATGAGAGAGACTTGGCATGTACGAAAGGTGTTTTTTTTTTTTTAAGCAAATACTCAAGTCTGGAATTGTGCAACTAAGGTTTAGCTCACAATAATGAATCCTGTTAGTCAATCTTTAAAAAAAACAAACCAAATTTGGAAGGATCAGTTTGTGAAAAGATCACAAAAAGATCTGAAAAAAATATACAAACTGTTGACTTACAACACTTCACTTAGTGATCATTCAAAGTTACAACGGAAAGTGTACTTGTGACCATTTTTCACACTTATGAGTGTTGCAGCATCCCCATAGTAACACGATTTACATTCTGATGTTTGAGTTCACTGAGTGTACAGTTCCAAGGCTGACTGCTTGGGTTGTTTCATTCGTATCGTTGGCTGCTACATTAGAGATTACGTTTTGAAATAACTCGTGTAGTAAAACCGTATCTACTTTCCTTTTGGTCGAGACCAATAAAACACAGATTTAACGATGTAATTTTCTTCTCTTTGGAGGGAGGGGAATAATCACGTCCAGTAATTGTCCAATTATAAGTCAGAGAATTATTATGAGAGGATATCTTTAGTTCTCAATCAATAATCTTGAGCGACCTTGGTTCTCACGGCTGGCAGTCTGATGTCTGAAGCCTGCATTCCATTAATAATAATAATAATAATAATAATAATGATGATGATGATGATGATGATGATGATGATGATGATGATGATGAAGAAGTTGGAAGGGACCTTGGAGGTCACCTAGTCCAACCCCCTGCTCAGGCAGGAAACCCTATACCATTTCAGACAAATGGCTGTCCAGTCTCTTCTTAAAAACTTCCAGTGTTGGAGCATTCACCGCTTCTGGAGGCAGGTTGTTCCACTGGTTAATTGTTCTCACTGTCAGGAAGTTTCTCCTTAGTTCTAGGTTGATTCTCTCCTTGATTAGTTTCCACCCGTTGCTTCTTGTCCTGCCTTCAGGCGCTTTGCAGAACAGCTTGACTCCCTCTTCTTTGGGGCAGCCCTTGACAATTAACCAGTGGAACAACCTGCCTCCAGAAGCGGCGAATGCTCCAACACTGGAAGTTTTTAAGAAGAGACTGGACAGCCATTTGTCTGAAATGGTAAAGGGTTTCCTGCCTGAGCAGGGGGTTGGACTAGATGATCTCCAAGATCCCTTCCAACTTTTTTTAATTATATTATTATTATTATTATTATTATTATTATTATTATTATTATTATTACTACCATCATCATCATCATCTGTAATCTGTTGTTACTGTCAGCCAATAAGTATTGACTGGCTGGGCCTGAAGGAGAGAGACTCTTCTGCTGTGCCCCCCCCCTTCTGGAAGATCATCACCCTGAGATCAGGTTGCTTTCCACCCTGCTGGCCTTTTGTAAAAGGCCTTGAAGAACGGCTTCTCAGCTTTTTTTTGGGGGGGGGAGGGATAGAGAATTTTAAAACATCCTGCAAATTCAACTACAATCATTCAAAGCCTGTCGAAGCCTGGCGCTCCACTGGAGTCTGTCGAAGCCTGGCGCTCCACTGGAAATTCCATCAACAGACGCATCGGCCTACAAGCTGCCTAGGAGCCCCTCAGGATCCACATCAACCGCACAGCCAACCAGAGACCGCACCGACCCACAACCAACCCACGCAAGGCCACCCTTCCCCCCCAGCACTTCACCTCCCAAGGACCCTCACCGGATGTAACCTCCCCATCACAAGACCCCTCACAAGTCTCTCACTGATGACTCACACCTGACCCTTCACAGACCCTCACTTGACACACTCACACCTGAAGCTCTTATAAACAGAAGAACACTGACATTCCCTAAACTCCGTTGAAGATGTTACCTAGCCGGGTAACGAAATGTTTGGAAACCACCCGCAAGCTCAGAGAACGAACCTTCACACACACACACACACACCCTAATCATTCAAAGACTTAAATACACGAAGTCTTTCTGGATGGGCTCTTCTGAACTCAGAGAACTGCTGACTGCTTAAAACAAAATACACTGATTTTAAGAAACGAGCATTAAAGGGGGCCTTACCGAGAGAAACCACGATCCCCCTAATCTCCTCCATCACTTCTTCATGCAAAGCTTTCTGCTCCGAATCCAGAAGCCTCCACTCCTCCTCCGTAAAGCCCAGAGCCACCTTCTCCAACGTCACCAGACCCTGAAAGGAAGGAAGGAAGGAAGGAAGGAAGGAAGAAGGAGGGAGACAGGGAAAGGAAAGGAAAGGAAAGGGAAAGAAAGAAAGAAAAAGAAAGAAAGAAAGAAAGAAAGAAAGAAAGGGAAAGGAAGGGAAGGGAAGAAAGAAAGAAAGGGAGAGAGGGAAAGGAAAGGAAAGGGAAGGGAAGAAGGAAAGAAAGAAAGAAAGAAAGAAAGAGAAAGGGAGAGAGGGAAAGGGAAGGGAAGAAAGGAAGGAAGAAAGAAAGAAAGAAAGAAAGAGGGAGAGAGGAAAAGGAAGGGAAGCGAAGAAAGTAAGAAAGAAAGAAGGAAAGAAAGAAAGAAAGAAAGAAAGAAAGAGGGAGGGAGAGAAGGGAGGGAAGGGAAGGGAAGAAAGAAAGAAAGAGGGAGAGAGGGAAAGGAAAGGAAAGGAAGGGAAGAAAGAAAGAAAGAAAGAAAGAAAGAAAGAAAGGAAAAGAGAAAGAAAGAAAGAGGGAGAGAGGGAAAGGGAAGGGAAGGAAGGAAGAAAGAAAGAGGGAGAGAGGGAAAGGAAGGGAAGGGAAGAAAGAAAGGAAGGAAGGAAGAAAGAAGGAAGGAAGGAAATAAAGAAAGAGAGAAAGGGAGAGGGGAAGGGAATAGAAGGGAAGGGAAGGGAAGAAAGAAAGAAAGAAAGAAAGAAAGAAAGAAAGAAAGAAAGAAAAAATATTTCCTTCGTACCCATCCCATGCCAGGCTTCCCCTACTGGGCAAAGTCTTGGTCAAGCTGCAGTGAGCATTATCGACTAAACTCCCTTTGGCAATTCGGTGCCCTGCAGACAGGCTGGGACTACAACACCAATCGTTCTCAGCAGGCCCGGTTGGCAAAACTGGGGGCTCAGCCCCAACTTATCTAGAGAGCTCCACCTGGTGGAAGGTTGCAGAATACAAGTTAGGAATAGCAATAGCACTGAGACTTATATACCGCTTCATGGGGCTTTTACAGCCCTCTCTAAGCCAGGGGTGTCAAACTCAATTTCACTGAGGGCTGCATCAGCATTGCAGATGCCCTTGGGGGGCCGGGTGGGTGTGGCCAGAGTGGTTGCAGCCTACTGGGTGGGCGTGGTTGGAGTGGGTGTGGCCTACTGGGTGGGCGTGGCCAGTTCTACATCATTCGCGTCACAGGTGCCTATGGGGGGCCTGGGCAGGAGTGGGACAGATCTGAGGGTCTCTGGCAGAAGGGGGTGGGACCGGGGCAAGTGCCAAGGCATGGTCCACCGGGGCAAGTGTGCCAAGATGGCCACCACAAAATTGTACATTGGTTCCCGGCCGGCCTGGGCCAGGGCCAAGGCAGAGGGGGCCGTTCCCTCACTGTTTCCAGGATGGCTTCGCGGGCCACATGAAACCACTTCGCGGGACGCATCCGGCCCCCGGGCCTTGTGTTTGACATGTCTGCTCTAAGCGGTTTACAGAGTCATCCTATTGCCTCCATCAATCTGGGTCCTCATTTTACCGACCTCGGAAGGATGGAAGGCTGAGTCAACCTTGAGCCGGTCGGGATCGAACTCCCGGCTGTGGAATGCAGAGTTTGCCTGCAATACAGGTAATCCTCGACTTACAACAGTTCATTTAGTGGCCATTCAAAGTTACAACGGCCCGGACAAAAGTGGACTTATGACTTACCGTATTTATCGGCGTATAACACGCACAGGCGTATAACACGCACCTTCATTTTAAGAGGGAAATTTCAGGAAAAAAACTTAAATTTCAAATAAAGAACTTTGAAGCAAAATAAGGGTAGCTCAGAACTTTTTTTTATTAATATTATTACCACTTCTTAACATTATATCGGCGTATAACACGCACACATCATTTGCCNCAAGTGACTCACATGTCAAGGTTCCGACTGACGAACCCAACAAAGTAAGCATAGCAACCGACGATGTAATCTCTAATGCAAAACTTTATTGAGCACATCATTTTGGCATAGATGAAAGGAAAACCAGCTCTGGTTATTTTGTGTCTAAATTGCTACATTAAAAGAAGAGAAACCTCCCTCCCCTTATTAGTGCAGGTCACATTGTCCAATTATAAGTCAGAGAATTATTATGAGAGGATATCTTTAGTTCTCAATCAATAATCTTGAGCGACCTTGGTTCTCACGGCTGGCAGTCTGATGTCTGAAGCCTGCATTCCATTAATAATAATAATAATAATAATAATGATGATGATGATGATTGATGATGATGATGATGATGATGATGATGATGATGAAGAAGTTGGAAGGGACCTTGGAGGTCACCTAGTCCAACCCCCTGCTCAGGCAGGAAACCCTATACCATTTCAGACAAATGGCTGTCCAGTCTCTTCTTAAAAACTTCCAGTGTTGGAGCATTCACCGCTTCTGGAGGCAGGTTGTTCCACTGGTTAATTGTTCTCACTGTCAGGAAGTTTCTCCTTAGTTCTAGGTTGATTCTCTCCTTGATTAGTTTCCACCCGTTGCTTCTTGTCCTGCCTTCAGGCGCTTTGCAGAACAGCTTGACTCCCTCTTCTTTGGGGCAGC